ACATCCGAAAAAAATTATTTTTACTTGTAATAATTAAAGAAAACTAAACTCTTTTAACTATCTTTAAAAATTACATTTAAAAGATTCATTTAAACAATTTATTTTTATTTTATTTATCATTTTTTATAATTTATTATTTTTTAGCAAAAATTATTTTTTAAATTATCTCAACACTTTGGTAAAATTTAAATAATATTTTTGCTTGTAATAGAATTTATTTCCTTTAAATAGTTATTATTATTACTTTTTTTTGCATATTATATTTTTTAGGTATTTATATTATTTCAGTTTCATTTTTTATTCTATTTATTTATTTATTTTAAAAAATTATTACCAGTAATAATATAAAATAACAATAATAACAATAATAATAACATCATTAAAAAAATAACATAAAAAATCAAAACAAAAAATAAAAAGAAAAGGAAAAACCTGTGAAACAGGTCGGGTTGGAGCGCGAATCCTGTGCGGGTCAGGTTTGATCTAGATATCCAACATGATGTTGTTTTGGATGGCCTATAAAAGGCTAGTTTCGATTTTTTTTAATTTTTTATTTTCCCTCTCTCTACCTAGAGCCCTTCTCTCTATAAAATCTCGGTACCCTTCTCCGATCGCCATGGATACCCATTTTTTGGCCAATCGTCGTCTTGCACCAGTGACTGGAAACTTCAACGACGCTGAAAAATTCAAAGAACCTAGATTCTGGTGGTCAAAAAATTCAACAGTCACTAAAAATTCAACCGTCGCCAAAAAATTCAAACTTTTTCAGTTTTCATCGACCCAAAAAATTTTTCAAAAATTCTAAAAATTCCCCTAATGATCCTTTTGCTTTCTAAATACTTTTTCAAGCCAGATTTTTTAAAAAAAGTCTACAACTTCCTAGATCGAGAATTTTATTCTCGGGAAATTTTTTTTCTTTTTATGTTTGCTATTTTTTTTAATTGTGTTTCCCCTTTTTTCCTTGTTCTCTGTATGTGTGTCCTCTCTCAAAACTTGGCTCTATTTATGGAGCTTCTTGGATTTCAAGTCTCAGATCTCCTCAAATTTGCTTGTGAAAAATTTAGATCATGTTCGGTAACTTTTGGTCACTAGATGTCAAGCTGCTAAATTAAGTAGTGTCAAAAGAAAAAATTGTCACTTTGGCAGCTTGATTTCAGCTGTCAGAATTGAAAAAAAGAAGATTTTTTTTTACTTTTTTGTTTCTTTTTTTTAATTAATTAATAAATAATAATAATAATAATAATAATAATAATAATAGTCAAAATTGGTGTCTACATGGTTGTTGTTATTATTGTATTTTAATAATTTCGATAGCTTTAATACTTGATATTAAGCTTGTTCGATTGATTGAACTTGGTTTCTATGGTTGATATGAGAGAAAAAGTTGTCAGTTATATCTATTTTGGGAATATTTTTGCATATAAAAGACAAATATACAAATTAAAATTTTGGACGTCTTTTAACATATTGAATGGCTTCAATCCTTCATATTAAATCGAGAGAAAATAATTGAATTTGGTTTTCATGATCGATATGTGTGAAAACCTAAAATGCTTTTATTGTTTACGTATGTTTAAGACATTGTGCTGTTACAGGGCCAAAATATAAATAAATAAGATTAAAATTATTCAAAATTTTAATACTTGATTGATAGGATTGATATACATAAATAAGTTACGGTTGATATGTATCCTATCAAATAATATATGTTTTTGTATAAGAGAATGAGATGGACGGTATATTTGGACGTGTGAAACTTTTTTGTGTAACACACACAAAAAAGATGGATCTTACATGAATGTCGAAACACAAGAAATTATGGTAATTTGTATCATCTATTTTAACAGAAAGTAAATGTTTACTCTTTTTAACATATAATCAATTAATCATTAAACTTGATAGTTGTATATGACAAATTCACAAGAAAAAGTGAAAAAGAAAATGGTTGTTGATATTGATGTAACATCTGAAGGTTCTCTCAACATGCATAAAATGAAAAATCGGATATTCATAGAAGTTGCTGAAAAAGAAAAGCATGGACGGGTCCGAGGCCTTAGATTGAGTCCAACACCATCTGCCTACTGTGGACATAACTCGTCGCAATTTACACTTTCAGCAAGTCGATCTTCGCAAGACATTTCAATATTAAGAGGAGAGTTGTAAACTATACAACAACATTTTCAGCAAATGAAAGCAGAAAGAGAACAGGAGCATGCCAAAATTGAAGAAGAACGTGCTAGAATGGAGCTAGAACATACAAAATTCCAGCAGTTGTATGATCGATTCGATCATCTTATGAATTTTGTGCAACAATAATTTTCAGGAAATGATTTTGGTGCTCCACCAACTCATGTATTATATTTAGTAAATATTAAAATTTTTAAATAAAAAAAAGCATACAATGAAGTGTTAAAAATTGTATGGTATTATTCAGTAGGTTCTTGAGCACGCTAATGACTAAGGTGAAAATTTTTTTCATCAATTGACAGCCAGCAAAATGTATGCAGTCATCCATTTTATACATTTTATTTTTTATTTTTTAATGTATTAAAAATATTTGAATGTTATTATACTAATTTTTAAACTTTGTATTAATTAGATGTATATTTAAATGTGAATGAAGTTAATATTAATTTCAGTTTTTGAATTTAAACTCTTTACTAAAAATATAATTTATTATAAAAAATTAAAACATATATATTTTTACATAATGACGATGTTTGTGTTGGGTAATGCCGCTAAATGAATAATTTATTGGCGTTTGTAGCATAAAACGTCACTATAAGTGGTGGTGCTCTTACCAAAAAATGCCGCTAGTTATGTGACACTTTTTATAGAAACGCCACTAAAACAACGACGTTTTTCTCATAACAATGTCACTGAATTAGTAGCGACTAAAAGATACAAATGTCATTAATATTGAGGCGTTTGCATATTCAAATGCCTCTAAAGTAGCGGTATTTTCTGTTACAAACGCCCTCAAAGCAACGGCGTTTTTCTCATAAAAATGCTACTGAATTAGCGGTGACTAAAAGATACAAACGTCGCTAATATTAAGGCATTTTCATATTCGAATCCCTCTAAAGTAACGGCGTTTTCTGTTACAAACGTCACCAAAGCAATAACGTTTTTTGTCATAAAATCGTCACTAATTTAGCACGTCTCAAAGTTATAAATGCCGCTAAAATAGCGACATTTCAAATATAAACACTGTTAATATTGATGTATTTTTTTAAAACGTCGCTATTTATCGCGACGCGTGTATAGACGACACTCTGCGTGACGTTTTTTGCGAACACCACAAACCTTATAATGGCGTTAATAAACACCGCTAAAAGGTAAAAAAAACATCACTAAAAATCAAAACCCTTGTAGTGTTCATATCATCATAATGATGATCAATAACTACGAGGTCATCGGCAAAGAAAAAGCAAGCGTCTGGAGTTATGGATTTGTGAACATTTGATGCCGCAACATATTCTACTTTAAGGTTATACCTGAAAAAAAGAAAATCCGTTAGGGAGAGAAAGCAAATTCATGTAAAGTGATAAATTTCAAATTCAATGTAACAAAAACTTTCAGAAATACTCAAGGGACTGTTACAGCCTAGAGGCAGCAGCTAGGCGGGTCGGAATAAGGAAATGGGCACACATGCAGGAATTATTGAAAGAAGCTCCTGTTACATGAATCTAGCAATGAGAGTTATCCTAAAACTGAACTGTTTATTCATATATATTAGAATGATAAACAAACACAAATTTCAGCATGATCAGATTAAGTGCACCCAAAAAACTACTTAACACCTCATGTATTCTGCGATTCTTATCAAGAATTACCTAATGTTGATTATCATCACTAAAACATAAATTAATAAAAGGATAGAATAGAAATTTTAAATATTAAAAATTTAACCTTTTCATTAGGACATTTCGGTTTTGCCATAGAGATTAGAAGCCAAGACAATCTTTCAAGAATGGAGTATAAACCGTGATCTTATCATTGGGCTTACTTTTAATCATCAGCAACAGAAAACTATTGCCAACTTTTCCATTCTTCAGTTGATTTGAATAGGAATCACAGGATTTAAGAGGATATCAGGTCAGGCTCCTATCAAGATGAAGAGCAATACATGATAAAGATTAAACTGATTACATTCACATAATTTTTCCAATCAATTTATACAAGAAAGATTAGCTTGATTGAAAAAAACTGGCTTTGATTTTCCTTTGTTTGATCTTCAATAAACCAATATATATCGACTAATAATACACGACAGAGCCATGATTTTCACTTAATACTTTAATTTTATCCGCTACCTTTACAACTTATATGGCCAACATATTTCATAGTAATAATTCAAATTTAATTAAAATCAAGTATAATTCTTCATTTAAAATGAAACTTGGAAGAAAAATATGAAACTTCCTGTAATAAGATCTATCAATCATTAGGGGTCGCGTGCACATGGCTTAGTCTTTAGGGTAGGAATAGATTATTAATATTATTACTGGAATAAGAAAGTTAGGTTGATTAAAACTTGCATCAATTAAATTGGTTGGAGCATTCAAGTGTAGTAGTGGAGTTGCTGTTTAGGGTAACCATGAAGAGTAAATTTAGAAGGAGAAGAAGAAATTAAAAAGACCTATAATTGGCATGCATGTGGTGAGTGAATTATATTGAAGGAGACTTTTGATTTGGTTGTATTGACCCACCGGAGGATGATATATGAATCATATTGATATTGGCACATGTGACAACCCCCAGTCTTGATTTTTAATGAAAAGATTAAACAAATTGATCGGGAAGATACATGTGACAACCCCCATGCCCATTGACTCCAATTTTCATCCATCACTTGTATACTTATGTATATATAATAAGCAAGTAAGAAGAGCTTGAAGAAACACACTTTAAAATAAAAAAAAAATCTACATTGCTTTTGTTTCCTTTAACATTGATAATAATAATAATAATAATAGTAGTAGTGGTACTATTAGGGAATGGTAGTGAAAGTTTATGGTCCACTGAGGGCAGCCTGTCCCCAGAGAGTGATGGCCTGTCTTCTTGAGAAGGATGTTGAATTCGAGATTGTTCACGTCGATCTTGATGCAGGAGAGCATAAGAGACCCGATTTCCTCCTCCGTCAAGTACCTCCATCCTTTTTCTTTCTCAATAATTACTGTTCCTTCGTAGCCAAATCTTACTATAATTTTATTTCCAAAAAAAAAAAAGAAAAACTTTTTTTTTTTTCAATGCATCTTTATACTCTCACCATTTATAACAACAATTTTCAATTAATAGTTGCATCTTATAAATTTATTTACTTGGTACTTTACCTTTTTTTTTTTTTGGAAACTTAAAACTCTATTTTTTATGTTTCATATATATTAAATTTTATTAATTTTTTTGACTTTAAAGTTTATAATTTATCAATGTTATAATTTTATTTTAGAAATAAAAGTACTAAAATTAGAGCTTTTTTTTAATCTTAATACCAAGTCAGAAGAGAAGATTAAATTCGAAACAAAGGGAGTATAATATATATATATATATATGATAATCCCACAAATTAATTGTCTATATCTTACTTAAAATTTCACAATATTTGTTGTGCAGCCGTTTGGACAAGTTCCGGCCATAGAGGACGATGACTTGAAACTTTTTGGTAAGATTCTGTTTGATGATGTTATCTAGCTTAATATATAAGCATGCATGCGCATTAAACAACTTTAATCTATTCATTCGTTAATATTAATACAATATTTATATAAACAAATAATGTAGTACCCAGCATTTGACTTAACGATAGTGCAAGAGCTTGTTTCATATCCGTTTCCTCCTCTCAAAAACAAGTTTAATTACATTCATTTCCATATCATCCAACATATATTACTTGTATAGTTTTTAAACTAGACATTTCATGAATTATTATCTTAAGTTTTTAGATTTTTTTCTCTGCCAATATAGAAGATTAATTCATATGTCTTATTAGATTACATTTAAATTAATATAATAACTAATGGAATTTGACACGTATAAGAAAAGATACGGGGTTTCACGATTCCATTTGGTTTGTTCAAAAAAAAAAAAAAATTGCCCTTTGGGCTTTGGCAGAGTCCAGGGCAATCATGAGGTACTATGCTGCCAAGTATGAAGATCGTGGTCCAAACCTGCTGGGAAACTCCTTGGAAGAAAGAGCAGTGGTGGATCAGTGGATTGAAGTGGAAGCACACAACTTCAATGACTTGGTCTACAATCTGGTCCTTCAACTAGTGATCTTGCCACGAATGGGAAAGCATGGCGACTTGGCCTTGGTGCACAGCTGTGAGCAAAAGCTGGGGAAAGTGTTCGACATCTACGAACAACGCTTGTCCTACTCCAACTATCTTGCTGGAGATTCATTCACCTTGGCTGATCTGACCCATCTACCAGGCATTAGATACTTGGTCAACGACGCTGGAATGGGGCACTTGGTGGCCCAAAGGAAGCATGTCAAACCATGGTGGGAGGCTATTTCCAACCGATCCGCTTCGAAGAAGCTAACGAAGCTCGCTAGCTAATTACTTAATTACTTTACTACAGTGTGTTTCACCTTTACATTTTCTACTTGTTGCGTACGTATCAAATCTTTTGTATGCTTTTAAACAAGTATAAGATAGAAATGGAAAACCAAAAGTTCCACGTTATTGGACCTCAAAGGCTACAACAATAGCAAATCAATCCATTAATCACATGAGGATAGTATTAGGGTAAGATATTATAATATGTCATTGTAACAACCTCTTGCTCCTGTGAACTTCGATTTATGGATCCATCATTCAATTTTTATATATGAAAATCAAAATCCATTTCCAAAGCTAAAAGTTTTTTTTTATTATTATTAAAGAACTTGATTTAGAAATATGAGTACGAGATATAAAAAGAATCAAAATTAACTCCTAATTTTTTCTGGGATTATAATACACATTTTTTTTTGCTTAAGTGAATCATGCAATAATGTCCAGTTAAATATCCCAAGTTTCACGCATGTATAAAAAAAAAAAAGATACAAGTGTTACATGGCATAATATGAGCAGCACGTCATAAACCCTAAACCCCTAAATGTACCTCTAGAATTACATATGGCATAATATGATCATTAAATGTGTAAAAGTCCTAAAAAAACAAGTTAAATTCTATATATATGACTACGAAAATCTTAATATGGTATTATTAAATATATCTAAGTGGCATATTTTGGGCCTCACGGCAATCCTAAATGCCAGATTATGAACATAATTATACTAACTTTTACAACTTAAACGGTTCATGGGATATGTTCCTATGCTTTTAACACGGTAAAAAAGCTTGGACCCAAAGAATTGTTGGACTGAGTTGATGTGCGGGGCTTTTGAATATATGGATTCAGCATCTGGACTGGCCACAGTCCTGAATTTATAAACAATTTTATAACTGATTGACTATGTTAACGTTGATATAATATATATCAACACTAATATATATATATTTGTGTGTGTGTGTGTGTGTGTGTGTGTGTGTGGCTATCACCTCTTCATTTGAATCTTTAGCGAATCTTTAGCGAAATTTCATTTTGATTTTTGGTATCCAACTTAAGTTGCAAAATTTAGAGGGCATAATGACAAAATGAGCCCTTGAGCTATGATAAATGTTTCATTTGAGCCCGTATAGCATGTCCGCTATAACTATAAATGCATTTAGATGAGGCACTATGAAATTTTCAAATTAAAGTTAAATAAAAAGTAATGTCTTATTGGTAAAATAATATTGTGAGCCTCTTGAAAATGATCTTCAAACTCAAGCTCGAGTCAAGCCACATCCGCTGGTGGGTCTTGAAGAGGTCTAACTTCAACAAATGTTTTGTCCATTTTTAAATTTATTTACAGTCGAGAGACTTGAATTGACAATGCAAGTAAGAAACTGCTTGCTGATCTCCTTTTGATTAATACTTGCTGCTGCATCATGGTAATTTCAAATGTAAAAGCATGGTTTTCTTTTCTTTTTCCTTTTTACTATTTACATTGCTTTCATCGTTTTACATACATACTAAGTCTGTGCCTTACGCAGGGAAGAGAAGTTGTTGAGGGATCTTGCATATGCAACTGGCAGAGCAACTAATTTCTTGGCTTTGCTTACATAAGCTCTCTTTGTGAAGTTGTTATAATCATTGGCCTCTATCTCATCTAGTATTTGCCGATAAAGCAGCAATGATGCCCAAACCTGCAATATTGCAGGAAGATCAGTCCCTAATTTTTACGCATCTTTAATTTCCTGACCTTAAGTACCATGCATCTTTCTCTGTGTATATCTTAGTCTTATAGCAGCAATTCATTGACATTGCACAAAATGTCACATCACAACATGTATAACAAATAGTAGAGAGAACTCCATTTCATTCATTATAATTGGCTTAGTGATTCTTATGCTCCAAGTTATCTTATTCCAGTATAAGTGTTGTGATTGTTTACCGGCCATCTACTAGATGCAGTCAGTTCTGTCACTCCTTTTTCTGCTTCATCAAAGAACATCCTTGCCCTCTTTATTTGTTCCTTCGTGAAGTTTCTCCACTTATCTGTAACCTTTCCAGCGAAAATGTCCTCATCTGATAGTCCAGCCTGAGCTAATTCATCCTGCGGTAGATAAATCCTTCCCCTTTGTGCACTGCAGGAAGAAAGAGAAAGAGGAGAAAATCTTGAGTTATTTTCGGACAAAGAATCACTTACGAGTAACTCTTCTTCTCATTAAAAAGAGAATGAAGACAATATTAAGATCAGTAGCAGAGCTGTAAAACAATTTGAACAATGAGACCCCTAAAAATTGCAGATCTCAGTACATAGAACTCTGTACTTACTCCTCACCAACATCCCTAAGTATGTTAGTAAGTTGATTTGCAATCCCTAATGCCAATGCAGCATTATAGACACCCTCCGTAGTAGCTAGAGATTCAGGTGCAATGCCCATGATAGGAACACTCATCAACCCTACAGTGCCAGCAACATAATAACAATAGAGATATAGTTCATCGAAGTTTTTGTATCTTGACTTCCTAAGGTCCATCCTCATTCCTTCGATCATATCTCTGAAAGGCTGCAAATAAGAAATTATAAAGCAGTTAACAAGCTCTAACAATCAAATAGACCAATGTTCCTTGGCTATGCCTTTTTTTTTTTTTATTTAGCTCAAAACTCTTGTTAGCCATGCTGAAGCGGGGAAACCAGGAGAAATGATAAAGGCTATAAAGATTAACATTATTAATTTGTCTCACTGCTTCAAAATCAAATAGCCCCTCTTCCAAAAAAGTAATAATGATAATAATAATAAAAGAAAAAAGAGAGTAAGCACCAGGGCTTTGTGTAATAAATGATCCGTATATGCAGGGGCAAAGCAGACAAGTTTATGGATTGAACCACTTCACAGGCTTAATTCCTCAGCGGCACATTTGAAACTAATGCAAAAAAAAAGTACAATACTAAAAGAAATAGTGGAAAATGAACTGTGGATAGCGATATAATACTTTGATGTTATATAGTATTAGTACAATTCAAGTAGAAGCTGTTTAGTTCATATTTAGGCTAAGCACAAACAACCTATACAAGTGAAATGACATAATACTGAAAGAAACTGAGACTGCCAGTAAATCAGCTCAAGCTAACCTGAATATCAACGGGAAATTTATTAACTGTGTCTGATAAAGCAGCATCAAGCATATCAAAGGGACGACCTCTGAATAGATCTTCCAACCTTGCTTCCCACTTATCTAAAGCAGTTGGAGTTATATGCGGTGCATTTGGTCCATCAACAAGTTCATCTGTTCTCCTACACCACACTGTATATGTGCATACATCACAAGAAATGAAGAAATAAATTTCTGCTTCTTCAGCTTACAGTCATCTATTAGACATTACTTGAAATCGATCACAATAGATATTTTCTAGAAGCTTGAAAAAATTATTAAGAAAATTAACCTGATGACCACCAATGGATTAGAAATTACTAGTGCTCAAGTTTTTGGACCTATTATGGACTATCTAACCGATAAATGAGATTTGAATTTTTCACAGACTAACACATTATGTTTCTAAGTAGACCTAGCACTGTCCCCAAATGTTGTTGGCTGCATAGGAAAAGCATTTCTGACTAGGATCAAGTATGAACGTTGGCAGGATAGGTGAATGAGATAAACATTACATTATTTTGTGCCTGTATATATAAATTAACCACTATTATTTTGAGTTAAAAGAAAATAGGGAAAGTAATCTCCTCCTCCCACATATGCATGCCTTACAACTGAACTACAATAGTATTCAGGGTTGCTATGAGGTGAGAACCTGCATAGAGGTCTCAAAAATGCTGATGAGACACCATAGAAAACCCTTGTTGTGGATATTCTACTGATAAAAGTCATATTTATGTAGGAGAAATCTTCAAGCATGATTAAATAGCAGGGCTCATATGCAGCATGATCACAGCACCCTTGCAAAATTATTCTTCATGATAGTTGACAAAGAAGATATAATTAGAAGTTAAAAAGATCGTGCTACACTTGTTCAAATGGCTCCATATCACTACAGAGAGAACATGCAATCTTAGGATATTAGCAACAGCATGCTCACCTTCAACCTTACCGTCAGACACAAGTTAACAAGAGAGTTAACAATCAAAAGAATCATGAGTTGCACAAAAGCAGAAATTACTTGTGCCAATAAGGTTCATAAATAAACTATCAATTGTTATACCTTTTTTAATCATACTTCGATATTCTGTAAACCATATGACATCGAATACAAGCAGAGGTCATGATAAACTTACCATAGATTGCCCAAATAGCCCTCCGCCTCTCAGGGGTCATCAGCAAAGTTCCTGAAAGGGCAAAGCAATAAAGATGAACTCCAAATGCGTTTAAATACTTGATTTTAATTCCCACCCAAAGCTCATAATAGAATTTGTCCAACTGAATAACAGGAACGAAAAGGCTAACCCAAATAGAATGTCTTTGCATACTCGGCACAAACTTCTCCACAACGGTCATAAGCTTCACTCAACAAGTTCAAAGTACCAGGCAAAATAATATCTGGTTTAACATCAAGATCAAGATCCCCACTACTACGTCTCAACTGCCTTTTAACCAGAGCTGCCTGCTTCAAGACCACGTTGTAAACCTTCTCCTCTGAGGAGACAGCCATTTCTCCTGCCGTTGCTGAGCTAGTAGCTGCCATGCTTGATACTAGAAGGACCTTGCTGCTTAAGCTTTCTGAACCAGAACTACCTATGCATGGATACCTCTGATCTGTCCTGAAAGAATAAAAATTTGGATTCCATTTCTGTTTTTTATCCTTGTTTGCTGTGTACCGGAACAACGAATTCATATGTGGGGATACAAATCTGGACGAAGCTAAGGACCGGTTTCCATCATGGGATAAATGAATGAAACCCAAGTCTGATTGGGAAGGTACAAGCCATAGCAACTTTGCAGGCATGTTGAAACCGGTTGAGCTTGAGCTGTCCTTTTAATTTGTAAAAGAAAAAAAGTTTATGTTGTATGAAGGTAAAAAGGAAAGCGGCCACAAATGGAAAACAATTGAAAACGTCTTAAAACAAAGTAGGTTTTAGTTAGTAGTTAGAAATACAGAATATGTATAAGAAAAAGCTCCGTCTAGGCAGTCTGAAATCGATTCTAGCTGGCTTGGCTTTTTGTCAGTGAAGAAAAGCAAGGAATGAAGATAGTGATAATAGAAAAGGCATTCACCTTTTTGTTGGCTACTTGGCAATGGGAGAGTTACGATTTTAGAATGAATTAATTGAAGATGGAGTCAACATCAATGGAGAAAGTAACAATGGCCACTCAATCTGATCCACTCAACTCTCCTCCAATATTCCAGAATTTCCAGTCTTTGTTTTTATTTTGTTTTTTCATTGTTTTTGGGTTACAAATAGTATAGTAACGGAGAATAAAAGGAGAGAGGTTTGTCCGGATTTGGACAGTGCTGTTACACTTTTGTAAGGGATGCTGAGTGTGTTGGGAAAATGGTTGGATCCGGACATTCTTGGACCAATAAGAAAAAGAGGGGCAGATTAGATACGTTATCGGAAATCAGTAGAAGGAACATATGGCAAGCTGCGAGTGGGAATATAGATTGGACTTGATTAGATTAGATTAGAGATCCCGGGTTGGCAAAAGCGGAAAAAGCTGGCCTTTTCTACGTGTCACTTCGCAGCTCACACACATACTATGCTGGACTTGGACTTGTGCTAGGACTAGGATTCCACTTCACTAAGTATGGGTCCCTTTTTTTCGTAGATCACTTTAGTATTTCCTTTTTTTGACATTGTGACGTATTTTCTTTTAGGATTGATAAAATATTTATTAAAATTCTTGCATATTGTACGTATATGTTTAATTCAATAATTAGTATATAAACTCTTATTTTAAATTTAAATTCCTCCTTTTTTAACTTAAAAATTCTTATAATACAGCCGGATTAACAATAAAATTTATCCATATTTATATAAAATCGATTTTATTATGAATCAATTGCAAATTTATCACTTTAATAGGAGTTTTTAAATAGACCATTTCATTATTTTAAAAAAATAGGACTAAAGGGTATATATTAAAAATATGATTGGTATAAAAAATTATAATATAATAGGATAAGATGATATTATAAATAAGATTAAATTAAATAATATAATTTTATCCTATATTTGATATATACAATAATTAAGATATAATAATTTATTTATTAGTTAAAATTATTTTTTTTAATTTATATAATTTAAATTATTGATATAAATTTTAAATGTATAATAAAATATGTAAGTTTAATCATATTGATTAAAAATAATTTTTTTTATTTTGGAAGTAATCATTTTATAAGTGGATGATTAATTCTTCTTACAATTTTAATATTTTTTTTAGATATAAATCAAACATAATATAAAATAATTATCATTTTATCATATCTATCATTCTATGTATAAAATATAATTTAAGTTGATAAAAGTTTGCAAAATTGAACTTTATTCAAAATATTTTTTTACTTAAATAAAATTTGACATATGTAATAAAAAAATCAACAATATGAACTCCAAATAAATGCTTGACTTGAAATTCAGTTTGATTTAATAAAAAAAATTAAGAATTTGAATTCAAAATGATATAAAAATATTAATTCGAAATGATTCTAAATTAGTTTAAACATAATTTATATTTTAAAAATATCAATATAATTAAAATAATAAATATTATATAAAATATTAATTTATTAAAATTTAATAACTTTTAAATTATCTTTTTAAAATTTCTTTTATATAACTTTAAATATTATCATTCTTAATAATCATTAAAAAAATAAAAAATATATATGTTATTGACATTAATCTAATTTAATTGGGCAATAAATTGATTATGTTAATCCACACGAGATAAATACAACAAATCTAAGGAGGCCTTGGCCGTTCTCCATCAATCTCATCATATAGCCGTCCTTGCTTGGAGCCAGTGATCAACTTAAATTTAAAATAAAGACAAAAATAAACTATTTTTGTTTTCTTCTAAATAATTTTATATAAAAAAATTTTTATAGCTAAAGTAGAGTAATAATTATGAATTCATTACCTGATCAGTAATTCTCGCATAACAAATGTTACATGAGAAATGCGGAAAACAAAGTAGTAGGGCAAACATTCGGGAGACCAAGCAACCCTAGGCCACCGTAGAATAACGCTTAACCGAAACTCCATTGATTTCCTCCTTTGCCCTCACCGAATACTACGCCGTGAGCAGCATAGGTAAGGCTACGAGCAGGCAGCGGAATTCCAACATGGAAGTCGCCAATCCTTTGAAACGAAAGCGACAAGACGATGGCAACCAGGTGGAGGTGGACCTTTCCCTCCTCGAAGCCGTCGAGAAATCCCAAAACACTGTCGAAGTACTTGACCTCCGCACCCTCAAAAAGCTTGTCCTCTCCTTCGAGCGGCGCTTAAAGGAGAACATCGAGGCCCGGCTCAAGTACCCTGACCAACCGGACCGCTTTGCTGACTCCGAAGTGGAGCTGCACGAGGAGCTCGAGAAGCTGAAGATTCTAGCTGGAGCCCCTGAGCTGTACCCTGAGCTGGTCAATCTCAATGCCATCCCTTCCATTCTCAATCTCTTGTCCCACGACAACACCGACATTGCCATCGACGTTGTGCATTTGCTAGAGGATTTGACGGACGAGGATGTTCTGGAGGACAACGACGAGCCTGCCAGGATTCTGGTCGATTCCCTCATCGAGAACAATGTGTTGGAGCTGTTGGTCCAGAATCTGCAACGCTTGTCTGACAAGGACCCTGATGAAATGAGTGCTGTTTACAATACATTGGCCAGCATAGAGAACATGATAGAGGTGAAGCCAGCAGTGGCGGAGTTGGTCTGCGAGAGGACAAAGTTGTTGAGATGGTTGTTGGGGAAGATTAAAGCGAGGGAATTCGATAGTAATAAGCAGTATGCATCGGAGATATTGGCCATATTGCTGCAAAACAGCACAGCCAATCAGAAGAGATTAGGACAAATGAACGGCGTGGACGTGGTTTTGCAGGCGGTGGCTATGTATAAATCAAAGGATCCCAAAACATCCGATGAAGAGGAAATGCTGGAGAATTTGTTTGATTGCTTGTGTTGTTTATTGATGCCATTGGAGAACAAGGAGAGGTTCGTTAAGGCCGAAGGGGTGGAGTTGATGATTATTATTATGAAACAGAAAAAATCTGCTTATGCCTCTGCCATCAGGGCACTTGATTTTTCCATGACCAAGTATCCGCCTGCTTGTGAGCGATTTGTGGATGTTTTGGGATTGAAGACTGCCTTTGCTGCTTTCATGGGTAAGGCAAGTGCTTCATCTCTCTTTGTGTTTGTATCTTGAGCGCTTATCCCTGTCTAATTACAAGCGGTACCTAACACTATGCCATTTTCTCTTGCTTTTTTTAGATTCCTATAAGTAAGAAGAACAAGAAGGAAAGGTACCAAGAGGAGTTGGAGGAGCGCCTTGTATCCCTAATTGCATCATTATTTGGTAAGCAGGCAAGTGAAACATCTTTAGGATATTCATATTTGTATAATAATATGACTAAGCTGCTACCTGGCAAACTATACTTAAAAGTATGTAGCTGGTTTATGGATAAAATCATTATATTCTCATTTCTCATCGATGTCCTTGGTATGAATGTATGGTAATATTTAAAAAAAAGGGAGATTATTACTTTTTCTGGTCTTAGGAAGTTTGATAATAAAATTGATAAGAAATACTTTCTGTTCTCTCTTCTTTACATGTTTCTCGCCCCTTTGATATATTGAGTCAAATAATATTACTTCTAATTTTTCATACTGAGCTTGGATGAATGTTGTGAGATTCTGAAATCTACAACCCACTTCAACGGGTGAAGAGTTCACTCTCAATTTCCATATGGCTAAATTAGTTACATATTGCTGTTGAATCGGCTGCAAAGTTAAGAAGAGGTGGGAAAAAAATATGTTCTGTATAGTTTCCTTCTCAAGTCGTACCTAGCTATGTATCAATTGATTGTACCAATAATCAATAAGCAGATTAGAATCACTTTTCCTGTTGGTAGGTCCATTAGGAATAGGAGGTAGTCATTTCCCATTTTATTAACCCTCCCAGTTCCCATTGAAGACTTGATAACTTAGTCCTGAACAGAATTAAATAATTGGGCCGTGGTTACAGCCTTTGTCTGATTTGGGTTTTGTCAGAAAATTCTTGCTGGCAAATTAAGGAAACTTAAATAACAACAAGAGTGAACTATTTTCAATTTTTATATAAACATGACATTATTACTATACTTTGAAATGAGCTGTTGCATTTTTATGTGGTCCAACCTGGTTATTGATAGTGTGCCTGTGACACCATGCATATGCTTATCACTGTTGTCGATGATTACCAGTTAATTGCAAATAATTTTTAGCTACATAAGGAGATTGCATTACTCGTTTCACAAGTTCTGAAGCATATAGATCATAAACATTAGTAAGCATCATTTTGATGCTTCTTGTTTTCTTTCCAGGTGGAATTTTGAGAGGTTCTAGAAGGGAAAGGTTGTTAAGTAAGTTTGTTGAGAACGAGTGTGAGAAGATAGACCGCCTTATGGAATTATATATAAGGTATTGGTTTAGTTCTCTTGTTTTGTTCTTTTAACACCTCAAAATTACATGATTAGAGTCTTGAGTTTCTTCTACTGTTTGCATTAATATGCAAAGCGATTCTTGTTCATGCAAGGGCATGGCATGGGTATTTGTACTAATTAAGAATAATATTTTTCTTCTTATTGTGAAGATAGGCTACGGTTGTGTGTGCCACATCCATGAAGGTTTGCATAGAGATGTTCTTCTATGACTAATGTTCACATATTATGGTTTTTAACATCATGCAGATATTCTGATAGAGTTAGAGCAGAGACACAAAGACTGGAGCAACTTGAACTTGATGATTTAGAGGTAATCCATGTGCCTTACTTTTCTAGTCTGCATTCAACTTTGAGTAGACTTCCTCTATAAAATGGCTAATGGCTTGCATTTTGCAGATGGATGAAGAGGAAAAGTACAACAGGAAACTTGAATCTGGACTTTACACTCTTCAGGTCTCTCTCTTTCTCACTCACTGTCTTTTTTTCTGTTTTTTGGGGTGCCTGAGGAGGGGAGGTTTTTAAGAGCTCTTCAGGTCTGTTTTTGACTTTTTACAGATGTTTGCAGTGGAATTAGCTGATCCTGCATAAATGGTTTGCATGTGTGATTTATTTACTGCTTTAAAGGCTGTATATTTATCATGAATTTAGCCATTAAACAGGCCTGGACAAGTTGTTTGCTAGCGTCATACATTTTTGACACAGTTATCCAAGATTGTGTAGTTTTTTGTTTCGTTTGTTATTAGTATTTATTTATTTTTCTTGATGAGGAATATAATATATATTATTTCTAGGGGGCTTGCCGTCTAACTTCTTTTCTTGTCAAAGTTGTGAACACAAGAAGCCCTAACTCCTTGTTGTATTTTTTTAAACCTCAGGAATTGTGTATAAACTTCAAATTATCTAGCCAAAATTATATTGCTTTGACTTCCTAAATTCTTATTTATATAATTTTTTTTTAGTAACGGTGGGTTAACATTAAATGGCCAACAGATATACTACCTGGTTTTCTTCCTTTTGATTTCCATTCTTTTGGTAGCTATTGATGTAGGACAGCTTGGAAGACTAAGGTTTATATACTAATAATCTGAAATTCTAAAGAAAACAGGTTTAAAATTGAAATAGTGATTTGGAGGCTTTGGAGATGGGTGATGAGGGATTTGAAGAATAATACTTTATGAGGGTTCTAGATATTCGACATCATGGAGTGTAGAGGTTGTGGGATGTGTTGGGAGAAGAAGAAAAGTGTTAGAGTGAAATGGAGAGTCTTGGCTGGAAGCAAAGAAAAGATAGAGTGAGAAAATAAAGAAAAGAAGAAGGGATAAAGACTGAAACAAATAGCCATCGGTGAAGCCAAGAGCCTCCGGTAGTAGTGAGATGCTGAGGGAAAGGAGACCAAAGTAAAGGGAGCAAAAATCTGAGGGGTTGTCAATTTATTTTTAAGTTTAATTAATTAAAATTTTTAAAAAATTAAATTAATTTAAATTTTATTTATCGCATGATAATTGACTCATCATCAAATTATATCTGCATGTATTTGCCACGTCATTAAGTGGATGCTGTAGAGGAATTACAGTGTTGTTACTGACATCAGCATTCAATTTGGGTCTGACTGCACCAAAATAGTAGTTTGACGGCTTGATTGCATCAAATGAAGTGGCAAGGGTTTAAGTAAAAATTTGACCAATGGGCTTATTTTACCATCATGCCAATCTTATTTTTGGTTTTCCTCATGTTATTGGGTTTTTATTATAGTTTAGCTATTGTTTAAAGTCAAGTTTGTTAGCGTCCCTGATAGTTTCCAATTAGAGTCTATGAGTATGTTAAAGTTGTCACTCTTATTGGACAAAAAGTGGTATGTTCTAGGAGTATATATATACATATATATATCAACATAATCTTTCTCTGGAGACTTGGAATTATTATTAGAGAATCTCCTTGATCATTACTCTTGTTACTGTGTAATGCAATTAACCTTAGGTGTGACTTACTGCAAAGAAAGTCTAAGTATTAAGCCTGGGAATCTCTTCCTTATCTTATTCATTCAAACTTCTCTGGTTTCTCAAGAATTCAAATGCAAAAACTGCCATAAACCCTAATCACCTAGCTCTCTTGTAAGTTTTTCTTGATAATATAATAATGGTTTAATTGGTTTCTCTCAAGTAATTCTGATCACATTAGTCCATATTTGTATCATTGGTGTTATACTATTGGAATTGAAAATTGTTAAAAGTTTTAAGAAAGGTCCTTCTATATCTTAAGAGTGAACAAATAAAATGAGTTCATGGGTACTTAACACTATGTTATTGCACGGGAGCAGCATAATATATTGGAGAATCAACATAAATACTGTAAAAACAACAAAACCAAGTGGCTACAGTGAGATTAACAGTGTACTACATTGATATATCTATGCTTAAGACTAAAGATGATCCTATTGGCAGATAAATCTTTTATGTCTAATATTTCTAATATTTGGTTTGAATAGAAAATTTCGGTTTCTATTAGTCAAACAAACGTAGCTGTAATCTCCTATTCTAAATTAATTATATTTATTGGTAGACATCTTATTAACCAATGTAATTAACCAATGTGTTTAGATATTATCTGTTTTAATCTATTTTTCAAATTGCAGTTGATTGCTGTTATTTTGGGTCATCTTTGGTGCTCTGAGTAAGTTTTTTGCGCCTTTTTCTTGTTCATGTCTATTTATTATGTTGCTTGATTTGTAGTCTTTGTTCTTTTTGAACTTTGTTCAATTGAGTTTATTGAATACAATGCAGACACCCTCAAATGAGAGCAAGAATTGAATTACTACTCAAGCAGCAGAAGCTTACTAAGAAAGATATCAAGGATATACTTCAGGTACTTCTTTTTCCCCTCAAAACTGTATTCCAGTTGTAGAATTTCTAGACAGACATGAGTTACATGCCAGCTTGTTGGTAAAATACATCATTAAGGCTTGTTTTATAGAGGAAATATCGAGAATTGATAAAAAGGCATTGCACTATTTCAGTCTTATTTGTTCGTACAAGCTTGGCTTTGAGGGTGGAAAAGCAAATAAGCAATAAGCCTAGATACTGGTGGCAGTAAACAGTGATATAATGTTCGAGGTTGAACCTTTAAGGTTATTTTGATGTGTATTTGGTTAGGATTTAAGAGATGCCCACCCTAGGGTTATAGAAATGACTTATGGCTGGTGTTAACTCTCAAACTGGCTTTGAAAATAAAAAAATTAGAAGAAAAGTACAAAGATCCAGGCATACACGTAGATTGCGCTCATAATATGGCCTCAAGCCCAAGGGGTTCACACATGGGGTTAGAAATTGCTTCACACCATCCTGAAGAGAGCATAACAGCTGTAAAATGGAGGAACCCACCTTGGATAGAAAGTCTGATAAAAAAATGAAGTTAAAATATTATTGAATCACACCAAAGAAATACTGGAGGAAACTGCTGAAGTTGAATACAAAATAAATATTTAAAACCTACTTGGCTACTTACTAACCCTAGGTGATGAAGCATATGGAGGCTTTTGATCTCTTCTCTATGGGGAAGGTGTATTTTGTGTCAAGGGTGTGTTGGGAACACAAGGGAAGATGGATTGGATCAGGAGGTGACGTATTTAATTTTGATATTTTGAGCTGTGCAGCATCTCATATTGCTTTGCGTTCCTTTCCTTTTTCTTGGGTATTTAATTTTCTAACACAGGAATATCATGATAATATTGGTGACCTGGATGGAGCGGAAGAGAAGGAGCGAGCACAGACAAGGATCCAGAAGATTATCTCATCCTTTTGATTGTCAGCTGATTTTGTACTTAGCTTGGATGTGCATTGTGAAACTGAATCCATGCTTATACAATTAGGCAGGCTTCTCCAGATTGTGAAATTGCCCCCAATGCGAGACATGTTAGGAACAACATTCCGATTTAATTACAACCTCCACTCCAATGCTTTTAAACAACTTTTGCAGGGTTTTATCTTGGTGTAACCAAGTTAGAGAAAATGGGATTTTTCTTTTTAAATAATGTGAGTGCTAACTGCTAAGCAACACTATCCTATTTATTGAAATTAAAAAAAAAATAACAAATTAAAGATACAAATATAAGTTAATCTTCTTAAATTGTTTTTTCTGATTTCGTTTAAAATTTTCACATGTAATAAAAAATTATTTCTTTTTATGAATTTTTTATATATATCCTCAATAAAATTTTTTAATTTCATTAGCGACCTTTAAATATTATCACTTTTTCGTTATCTTTTTTTTTTTTTCCGTTCCCTTTCTATACCTGTTTTTTCCATCCAAATTTCCTTTTTGATTCTTTTTCATTTAAATAAATAAAAAATTTATTAATATAATTTTGGTATAAAAATTAATATTTTATCACCAACCACGAATTACCAATTGGCTTTCATCTAAAAAGTCAAAATTATTTAAATTTTTATTTTACTCGTGATATATGTTATATGATTTTGTTGATCAAAATATCATTGGATTAATAGCCGGTTCGAAAATTTAGATATCAATTTACAAAATTTCTTTATTCAGATAATAATTTATATATTTTCTGAAAAAATCAAGTTGCAAAATTATAGTTATTTATAACAATGAGCTTGGTTGTGAAGGAGCAAAACGAAAAGACGAATAGCAAATCCTCGGGTTTAACTTATTTTACAATGTGCAATAAAGAAAAAAAAAAAAAAGGAGCACGTGTAAGGGTGGGGTTTAGACTTGGAGAGAAAGTCAGGAATCCCATAGAATAGAATAGAAGAATCCAGAAACCACTGGCGATTGGATGATTGATAAATAGAGGATGGGTATTACAGCAACGGATATTCTACAAAAAAAAAAGAGAAGGAAAAGCAAGAGAAATAAATAGGAAGATCCTTGTTAGTATTGGATTTAGGGTTTGGAGAGATGGTGGAGTTTTTGGGAAAAGAATACGGATATGTGGTGATAGTGGTGGTCCTTTACTGCTTTCTCAACTTTTGGATGGCTTTCCAAGTGGGGAAAGCTCGCAAGAAGTATAAGGTTAATTACCCAACCCTCTACGCTCTCGAATCTGAAAACAAAGATGCCAAGCTCTTCAACTGTGTTCAGGTTTTTTCTTTTTTTGCTTTTTGTTTTGTCATTTTGGATTTGGAATTGGCTTTGGCTTTGTCTTGTTAGTAATAATAATAAGTTTAATTGAATTAAAAATATAAAAAATTGCAGAGAGGGCACCAGAACTCACTGGAGATGATGCCCATGTTCTTCATACTGATGGTATTGGGAGGGATGGGCCATCCTTGCGTCTGCGCTGCGGTGGGGCTACTCTACATCGTTACCCGTTATTTCTACTTCACTGGCTATGCCACCGGAGATCCCCAGAACCGTCTCAATATTGGGTATTTCTTCTTTCTCTTTTATTTTTATATTTTGTTTTTTTAATAATTATTAATAATCCTTAAAAAATATATAATGATGTGCAGGAAATATGGGTTCTTGGCGTTGCTGGGCCTCTTGATATGCAATCTTTCATTCGGAATAAATCTGCTTCGACGATGATCGAGATGCTCGCTCGCACAGACCGTCTTTCTTTTACTGAACTCTCAATTATGCCAATAAAATAAATAAAACAAGTTTTTAATCTTCGGTCTTTAGTTTTCTGTACTGATCTGATGAGTTACGTATGTTCGATCTTTGACGTTTTCATTTTTAGTTGAGGTCTGATGTTGTTGACATTCATGAATCAATCCCTTGCTTTCCGGTCCACTTTCCAATTACAATTTGTTTTGTATGTTTCAATCAATTAAATAGTAAGGAATAACGCAAGAATGGTGACTAATGTCCAACTAATGACTTTGATTTTTTTTTTTTCAACCTATTCAGAAATTTGCTCGACGAATTGGCAGAAACCCGTAAAGGCGAACTGAAAGACGAACATGAAAAACAAAACACTTCGTTCGGATTCGTCTTTGGAGAAAAGGACTTAGACGATGATTTTTAGGCAAAGATTGTGTACTTTTTAACTAAAATCAAAATTAAAATTGATAAGTAGAATGGTATCGGTTGGGTAAAATAATAAATTATGATATAAATTTTTAAGATAAATATTTTAAATAAAAATATTAATAAATTTTTTATTGTTAAATAAGTATTAATTAAATTTGAGTTATAAATAATTTTTATATATATTATTAATTTTTATATTAAATTTAATTAACTTTTTTAAAATTTGTATTAAATTGTTTTTAAGAAAAAAATTTATAAATTTCTCTTAAAAAACTCATTAAAGTTTTTCCTTTTTGTAAACAAATAAAAAAACTTTTGTTCAAACTCGATAATTTAGCTGAACACGAACTTTTACCGAGCTCTCAAATTTTTTTTTATTAAGGAATGGAGCTATCAATTAAAGCTCTGCAATTGTTTGAAAAATAATGTTGAAGAATATTAAATTAAAATTTAAATGTAATAAAAATTTTAAATTATTTAACTTTTATAAAATTAAAAATAATTATAAAAATAATAATTTTATTAATAAATAATTTACTATATAATAAAATGACTTGTTTATTTTTAATTCATAATGTATTTATTAATTAATTTATTTATTATAATAAATTAATAAAATTATTTAGTAATTTTTAAATAAAAATCAAAAGAAAAAGGAAAAGTTAAACAGAACATTTTTGTTTTTTTAATATAAAATAAAAAAATAAAAGAAAAAAAAAATGAGGACCGACTCTTCGCTGGAACTAAAACCATCAGTTGAAAAAAGGCCGCTTAAACTAACGTCTCGCTGGAGCTGAAAGCCAACCATAAGTGAAAAAACGCTGCTTAAATTCTCTAAACATGCTGCTGCTTTGACATGTAAATGAATGTATAGTTCCTATTGGCGCAAAGTTTCACAAATTTTGTTGGCAACCGCACCTCCAAGATGCCGTTGAATCAAAAATAAATACCCCATTTAATGTCATTGACCAAATATGGCCAGTAACAATTAATGACGATACTACGTGTGGACCCATTTTTTACTCTCTGATAATTTAGAATTGTCAGAGGGAGGGTTTATATAGAGATAACTGCTGGCCCACTTCTCATTCACGCGCAACGTGGGATTGTTACCATTATTTGGATAGATAATGTAATTTATTTTAATGATATTAATTATTATAATAATGAGATTAAAATTAATATATAAAAATATAAATTTGAATTTTAATGTAATTATGTGATGAGATAAATTATAGTGAAATAAAATAATAAAGATTAAAGAAATTAGATTAATAATTTTATATTATTTAAATTTTATAAAATTAATAAATAAGTGAAAATAACTAAATTATTTTTATATCAAATAATAATTTTATTAATAAATAATTAAAATTTAATACATATAATAATACATCAAAGGATATTTGTTTTTCATTTTTATAACATCATTATTTATTTTAATTAAAATAATAATATAATATTAAATTCTATATTTATTTATTAATTTATTACATAAAAATAAAATTTATATGTTATATTAAATTAAAACAAATAATTTTTTAATTTTTTAAATAAAAAAAATAAGGATGTGGCAATTGTTATTAGATCAGGGATAAAATTGAAAAAAAATCCCAGTTGACTGCTAGAGCCATATCTCTCAGGTTGGCTGGAGAAATGGGTTGGTGTGATGCCACACTGAAGGTAAATCCAAACAGATGATCGGGGCGATTGAAGCCAAAAAAGTGCCCCTCACTGCACCAGACTGGCCCTCCGTTTGAATCCAAACTGTCCCTTAACGTGTGGATTTCCTCTCTTGTTCATATTTTCAGATCTATCTCATGTCATTTTTTATGCATATAAAAAATAGCTTTGCAACTATATTTTTACAAAATTTACAATTGAGTTTTAAGATATGTTATTCCTATTTTTCAATGACATAAATATTAAATCAAGATTTTAATTGTGTAATAAGATATTAAAGTTAAAATCAATTCACTTGATCCAGGGTCGGATTTAGATTGATATCCGATGAGGTAAATTTTCATAATAAAAATAAAATGTATGTAGTATATTAATTATTTTTATATATAACTTTATTAAAATAAAAAAAATGAATAATTTTTTTTTTAACATGCAATCATGGTATTTCTTTTTTTCTTTTGTCATTTTAATTGTATCTAGTAATCATATATTAAAGAAAAGGTTTAATATTATGAATTTTTTTAAATTATAATAAAATATTTAATATAATATAAAAATTTTAAAGTCTTTAATATGATATATGGATTGTGAATCTGTTAATTAATTTGATTTATTAAATGATTATTTATTTTTTACATGTCATCATTTGAAATTAATCACATTAAATATGAGTATTACATTGATTAATAAACTTATAATTTAATTATCATATTAAATATTTTTAAAATTTATATACTATATTAAATATTTTATTATATTTTTAAAATTATCTATGACATTAACTCTAGAAATATAAAATGAAGAAACATTGATCAAATAACTTAACTTCTTACACTTGATTATGATAAATAATATTTATACGGGATATATCATATATTTTAGTATATTAAGATTATGTTCTATAGAAGCTTTTAATTTTTGGTTTTTATTTTTGCTAAAAATAATTGAAAGAAAATAAATTTTTAATAGAAAATCAAAGGTGAATAGTAAAATGTCAAAAACAAAATCTTTTATGGAATGAAGTCGGACTCTATTTGGTAAGAAGGAAATAAAAGAAAAGAGGAAAGAAGGAAAAAGTTCCAATGTAATGGATGGGCTATATAACAATATATGTTATTTTATAGCATAGCTCAACCAATAGATTATTATTATTATTATTTTTTTTTTGGACTCTACCAAACGAAAGCTTAAAGTATGCATAAAGTTTGGAATACACATTGAAATTAATTTATGGCTTAAACTTAATAACCTTAAATAGAGTAAGAAGATATGTGGAAACTAATTAAAAAATAAATTGATTTGAACAAAAATAACCATTGATTTATTATCGGGCATGTTATTGAGTTTGTTTGAGAATAATTTATTAAATTTATTCATGAACATAAATAATTCGAATTTATATATATTTATTTTTGATTTATTTATTAATTGAACCTAAAAATATTATTTGAACTCATTTGTTAAGTTTCATGAAAGAATATAAATGCGGTTTAACCAAATTTATTTATGAAGTATTCAATCAATACTTTTTTCATTTGCATCTATATCTCTAATATGTTAGTTTATATTTATCGGATAGACGAGGTTTCCTTTGAATTTCATATATTTTCTGCTTTATTATTAATTTTTTTAATAAAAATATTATTTTTTTTTATGAAAAAATCAAAATATTATAAAGTATACATATTAGTTCTATAAATTTATATCTTTAAATTTGAGTTAAAAAATTTGTCTTTTAATGAAAAAAATAAAAGATAATCTTTTGGAAAAATTAAAAATAGAGATATAAAGAGAAAAAAAATAATTAGGGTCTTATGCCAAATGTTTGTTTTAATTTTAATATTTCTTTTAGATAGATATAGGGTTTATTTGGATAAATTGTAAAACTAATTTTAATAAAATTAAAAATAATAATAAAAATAAAATTAATTGTTATAATGATAAAATTAAATACTATAAGGATTGCATCCAAATGGGCTTATAGTATCTCTTGACTAGTGGTGATTAAGTTACAAAATATAAATTATATTTATTTATTTTTAATTAAAATAATTAAGATTTAAAACATTTATTTTGATCTTACACTGATGGAAGTAGTTTTTTCCTTATTTGAGTATGGCTGTAATTTTGTTATTATTTATAATTTCATTGAAAAATAAAAAAATTATATTTATATATAAAATTTCAAATTTGTTAAAAATAACGTTTTATTTGACTTTACAATAATGTATCAACTATTTATTTTTTTGGATGCGACAAAATTTGATAAACTAATTTAAGAGTGAGATTTAGAAAATTTTGAGAGATAAAATTATTGGTAAATACAATATTGAAAATAAATAAATAAAATTTTTGCATGGTAAGATAGATAACTAGTAAAAAAAAACGAGTGGAGGATGAAAAACCATTTTTCTCATAATTTTATGTTGGAAAATAAAAGTACATTCTGGAATTGCGGTGGAAATATAATATGAGATTGTCACCAGGTTTCTATTCGTAAATTGTAATCAATGAGTGGATGAGATTTGTCCATCGAGTATTTTGTTCGGGTTTTATTAAAAAAAACACGAAATAATGGGCGGCAGCGGAATATATGAGATTTCCTCTGATTCTAATCTCTTAGTTTTATTGGGTTTCATGTGCTTGGGTAAAATGACGCAACTGCCACAGCCAGATGCGAATCTCCATTTTGCAGAAACGAGGGCAGCTATGTCATCTGACAATTTCCGGTCCACGAACAAACAAATACAAATTCAAGGGATTGGGCGTGGGAAATTCAAGTGAGAAAAAATGGCGAATGCGAAGTCAGGAAGAAGGGTTTTGCTGCTCTGCGGGGACTACGCCGAGGACTATGAGGTTCTTCTCTTTTGCTTTTGTTTTCTGTTTGAAATTTTTAGTATGAATTAATTAGTAATACTATTGTTATTAGGTGATGGTCCCTTTCCAAGCACTGCTGGCTTATGGTGTGTGTGTGGATGCTGTTTGCCCCGGCAAGAAGGCTGGCGACTTTTGCCGCACCGCTATTCATGATTCTTCCGGCCATCAGGTCACCTCTGCTCTGCACTGCTTTTGTATTTTATATCTATTCATTAAATTAAATTAATGAAAATTACCATTTCATATGATATGAAATATTTCAATCATAATATTGTCTTCTTTATCTTACAAACTCAAACTATCACTGCCTTTTTCGTAATCCTTTTTATCTCTGATTTTTCAAATCCTTTATATCTCAAATACTATTTTGGAAATATTGCATTTCTAAGCATTTTTTCTAACAATCACTTCTTGTTCCTAATTGCTCTTTATTTTAATTTTCACTTGTACCAGACCTACACCGAGACCCGGGGTCACAATTTTACACTGAATGCATCATTTGATGAAATAGACCACACCAAATATCATGGTTTGATTATACCGGGAGGTCGGGCTCCTGAATATCTTGCTATGAATGCATCTGTTCTGGACCTAGTGCGCAACTTTATCAATTCTGGAAAGCCAGTTGCCTCAATTTGTCATGGTCAATTGATATTGGCTGCTGCTGGGTCAGTTGAAGGTCGCAAATGCACTGCTTACCCGGCTGTGGGACCTGCACTTATTGCTGCTGGTGCGTTGTGGGTTGAACCTGATACCATGGCAGCTTGTGTCGTTGATGGTAATATCATTACTGGTGCTACCTATGATGGCCATCCCGAGTTCATCAGGCTCTTTGTGGAAGCACTAGGAGGCGTCATAACCACGTCAAACAAAAGGATCCTATTCCTTTGTGGGGTAACTTCTCATTCAATGAATTCAAGTTAGATTTCGCTCATTAGGTGAATTACTTTTGTTTATCGCATGACTTTGAGTTAGTGGGTAATATTCCAAACACAGTGATTAATATATACATATGCATATTTATGTTACCAGTTAGAGATGGGAATAGATCTAGTAGCCTGTGCACCAAAACTTATATTGGTTAACATTCTCCTCTGGCTGTTTGAAGTGCAAACTAGGTTGGTCTATTTTAGCTATAAACAGCCTTCATGTATGTGATCTGGAAGTGGTTACCCGTAGATTGATTTGCATTACACATGGAATCATGTTCATTAGGTGGGTTAGTCTGTAGCATAATTGTTTTGAAGTTTGAATAAATGAAAAAAAAGACTGGATCTTATTAGTAAATTATAAAGTTGTTATGTCCACGTTTTTGGTCTCTATCATTGGAATATGAAATCAGAAGTTTACTGTTCTCTATCGTTTAACTGTCACTGGCTTGTCTCTTCTTGTTTTGCTTGCTTTCCTTCTGCTGTATGTAAAGGTGGGTTCTATTTTCTTTCATGTTTGCTACTGAATTACTGAATTCATTGTTTGAAAGTTATTTGATTTCTCCTTTTGTCTGCAATATTCATCCTGTGACTGAATTTTCATGGATTTAAGAAGAGATTCCCAAGATATATGTGACAAAGACACATGCTTGGTCACAATATCTTAACATATTGCCTCTCTTGCTTAATTTACAGGATTATATGGAAGATTATGAAGTAACTGTTCCTTTCCAGTCACTTCAAGCTCTGGGGTGCTATGTAGATGCAGTTTGTCCTAAGAAGAAGGCTGGCGATACCTGCCCAACTGCTGTCCATGACTTTGAAGGTGATCAGACTTACAGTGAGAAGCCAGGTCATGATTTCACTCTAACAGCTAACTTTGAGGGCATAGATGCCTCAAGCTATGATGCTCTTGTCATTCCTGGGGGTCGAGCACCAGAATATTTAGCGTTAGATGAGAAAGTGATTGCTTTAGTGAAGAATTTTATGGAGTCCGGGAAACCAGTTGCATCCATTTGCCATGGGCAACAGATTTTAGCTGCTGCTGGCGTTCTCAAGGTAGTATTCTTGACATTGATTGTTAAGAAGGAACTTCATATTATTAAAACTTCACCATATAGACATGCATTTAGATTTCAACTACATAGAACAATTTTGGAAATCTGCAACTCTAACCTAAAAATCATAAAGTCTATCTATATTTTATCCATTTCTTTTTGCCATCTGTTAATTTCACTAAAGTAGGGAGTATTTTTTTGGTGTTACATGATGCTGTAAGCGTACATGGATTTCACTTGTTACAGCATAAAATAATTACTATGCCAGAGACTTGGCAGTTAGTGAAAATGTTGGTTAACATGTAATGCATGTGAGCCCGTCAGATCTCCTTTCAAACATGTTTTTTGTAACTCTAATAATGTTTCTAGTAATTGCCTTGCTTTTGAGGTTTCATTTGATTTTTCTTTCACCATATTTACATCGTTTGAAAAATAATAATGATTTCATGCACATATTGGCTTTCTTTGTGGGAAAATTAGAAGTTATTGATGCTAGATAAATAAAATTAATATGAAAGTTATTTTTCCCACAAAAATACATACGAGTAAATTTCATTGTTAGGCTGTTATCATTTTGCAAAGTTTCTTTTTCATTTGCAACATAAAAAACTCAAAATTTTCGTCCACAACATTTTGAATTTATTTCAAATTCCTTCATCTATCAACATACTATTAAAAATTTGGACGGAATTTGTCATGTGCATGTCCATCAAAATGTCATGGATAATTTTTGTTCACAAAGTATTGGCAGATAAATGAAGTTGGAACAAAATGAAAAGGTTTTGAATAAAAACATCAAGTTTTTTAGGAGACAGATGATAATGAAACATTATGAAAAGGTTAAGGATTAATGATGCAATTTACTGGCAACATATTTTAGGGATCTTTCTTTGTTAAGTTCACATGCATACATAGATACATACATCCCTACTACACAAATACATTGTTACATGTAAAAATAAAATCATGCATTTTTCATTGACATAAATTACATTTTCAAGATTTAATTGTTCAAAAACATAAGCTTGCTTTTGGTTTCAAATGCACTTTTTGCCTTTTGCTATTAGAAGCAAAAAGAGTAGCAAAAGAAACAAACAAGCAAAGCTTAAAGTATGTGGAAATTTTGTGATATAATGACTGCCATGTTGTGTTGTTTACTATAATTGTTTGCAAATTTGTGACCATCAACTTATTTTCTGTCCATTTCGTAATTTTTAACCTGGTTTCTGATTCAGGGGAGGAAATGTACTGCATACCCGGCTGTGAAACTTAACGTTGTCTTGGCAGGAGCAACCTGGTTAGAACCTGATCCTATAGATCGTTGCTTCACTGATGGAAATTTGGTTACTGGAGCAGCTTGGCCTGGGCATCCAGAGTTCATTTCTCAATTATTGGCTTTGCTCTGTATTAAAGTTTCCTTCTAGTTGATCCTTATCTTGATATCAGCTCTGCAAGTCTATATACATATATGGGGCAGATGTTATAAAATCTATGTGAATATGTAATGTCATTCTCGCAACTGGTTATGTAACCAGTAGGGTCTAACACAGTCACATGCCAATAAGATTGCAAAAAGGCACAAACTGGTTATCCCCTTTGTCCCCTTTTCCCTCGTTGTTGTTTGTAATAGGCTTGCTTCGTGTACCAAAGAGATGAATAAGGATGTTTCTAGTTTTGTGCTATAAAAGCTGCTTGGTGTGCTACTTTGGTTATGGATGAATCTATTATGCCATTGCTTGGTTGTTAGACTCCAAATGGGGTTTGTCAAATAGGGAGTATATCTTTTATAATTATTATTATTGCACTGTAATTACACAATCATAATCATAAATTGTGTAGGACTCAAAATATTTTATGGAACTTATAAATTGACAAATCACTATATAATTCTTTGTTGTGATAGTGTGGTAACAAGAATTGTAGTTAAAATACTCCTGTCAAATAGTTCTGTTCTTGCTTTTTGTGATCCTCTACATTTGGGAAGGTTTCCTTACCATTTTCGATGGAAATAAGAGAATGTTTGGTAATTTGATTTATATGTCATTGGAGTACCTATTATTATTTTTATAAATCAACAACATTGATAAATTAGCTGGTAGTTGTTAACCACTGTCACACAAACTCAAGATCGGTGTAAGTTCATGTTTGTTCTTGCTTATCTCGTTGGCCTTTGTGGTTTTAAGTTCATTTGATCCTTTATCCAGTCTTCACTTTGGTTTGGTCAAAATTAAGATTTTGTTGCTCAACAGAACAATTTCACAATCGAGGAATCAAGACAAACGCTTTTGTTTTAGAAAGCTGTTTTCTAAGGTTGTTGCACCCCTTTTACCATCTGTGAAAACTAAACTGTTATGTCTTACATATATCTCTGGACTATGTCCTGTGAGCACAATGCACTTTATCTACCACTTACGTTTATATTAACTTTGAGCTTAAATTTAAATTGGATTAATAACCTGTCGTTGAGGCTCTTCCTTCCATCTTCCTCACTATTCTCTTCCTCTGACATTGTTATTTCCTCGTTGATTTTCATCTTTTATTTTTTAAATTTCTTTGATTTATATAGTATGAGATTTTGAATTTCTTTTTTATAATTTTGATGTTTTAAAATTTTTAATGATAAAAAATACAAAATAACAAAAATAATTTTAAAATATAAAAATAAAATTTAAGTTTTCAATGAAAAAAATAAATAATTTAAAAAACTCTAAAATATAAGAATAAAAATTTTTGAGACAAAGGAGTATTAAATTCTATTTGTGATAGCTTTTTAAAATTTTGAGATTTAACTCTTGTCATTCAATTTTTGATAAATCAGTTAGAATGATTAGGGTTGGCAATGGATCAGGTCGGGATGAGTTTTTAGCTCGTCCCGAATTCGATTCGATTTTATAATCATATAATTCGAACTCGAATTTGATCTAAAGTTTTTTTTTAATTTTTTTCATATCCGAACCCGATCCGATCTAATATTGTATAAACCGTACCTGATCCAATCTTATCTGAAATTAATAAAATATATTTTTTAAAAATTTAAATATATAAATATATATAAATAGATAATTAAATAATTAATTAAATTTTTTTTATATAATATCAGATCGAGTCGAGTTTACTTAAAATTCGATTTCGACCGAACCCGAAATTCAATTTAAAAAAAAAAATCGATCATATAAAATTGAATCGAAACCTGTCGAAAATGGATAAAACTACCAACCCTAAGAATGAAAACGGTATTCGTGTATTATGGATTAAAGAGTTTATGAGTAAATCTTTTTAAGCCAAATAAATTTAGTGATAAAAAATTTAAAAATAAATTAAAAATTAAAAAAATTAATAAATTGAAAAATAAAAAGTTTTACTTGAAAAAAGAAAAAAATAAAAGAAATAAAAAATAGAATGATTTATCATAAATATTTGTTTTTTGATATTGTTATGAAAATAATTAGTGAAAATAAAATATTTATATGTAAAACTATTAAAAAAATTAAAAGTATTTTTATGACTTCAATATTTAAATGTATGTATATATATATATGTTACAAGTTAATTGTATATATATCTTGACTAAATATACGTATGTTTTATTTGTATGTGCACGTGGTATTCATTTATAATTTTAAATTCACACTCATTAAATATTAAAATTATAAAATAAATTTTATTTTATTTTTATTAATTATTTCTATCATTATATCCATTAATAAAAATTTCATTACACCATGTCTTGATTCTCTTCTGAAATTCACCCTAACTTATAATCTGGACGCATCCGTACTTGTGACAGCGACTACTGAAGTATGGTGGCACATGCCTTGCTGTCATATCAGACCTGTAATGGACGCTGAGGATGATTCCGTACGGATGAGCCAACGGCTGAGATTGTTTCTCCGCCAACTTCTCTCTCTACTTACTTCTTCAATTTCAGCTTTGGCCGGCTCACCCTATAAAACCACTCCTCCTCCTTTCTACCCGTTTTCTTTTGTTTTTCGTTCTTTTGCCGAGTCTTGAGTGATACCGTTTATATCCATATGGTGATGTTATGGAAGAAGAAGAGGAAACTCTGTCGTCTCCTTCTTCTTTTCAACCCAACTTCTAAAAATGGGTTTCCCTTCCCTTTTTTCTATCTTTTGCTTTAGAGTTTAGGGTTTGCCTTTCCAGTGCAATAATTGCAGTATGAGCGAGGATTGGGATTTCTGTTGGATTTTTTTAAATTCAGAATAACAACACTTCAATTCCGTTTTCTCTTCTCTTGTCTTCTCTTCTTTCAAACAAGAAACTAAGTTTGATATGAAGCTTTCAGCATCAGGCCTGGGACAGCAGGCTTATGAAGGTATTTTTCTTTTTGTTATTATTTTAAAATTAAAACATACAAGTGTCATTTTTCATTTAGTTAAATCTTGATACATTTGCATGTAAATTTGATTTCATTTAATTGCTCAATTAATTGTAATTAATGAATGATTATTAGGGGAAAACAAGTGCTTGAACTCAGAGCTATGGCACGCCTGCGCTGGGCCACTGGTATGTCTACCCACCGTGGGAAGCCGTGTGGTCTACTTTCCTCAGGGTCATAGCGAGCAGGTTTCTTCTCTTTGCTTAACCAGATCTCTCCCTTTTTCTTTCTGGGTCATAGTGGCGTTTTTAGCTCCAAATACAATGAAAAGTGAAATCAACTCGCAGGTAGCAGCCACCACTAACAAGGAGGTTGACGCCCACATTCCAAATTACCCCAACTTGCCTCCTCAGTTGATATGCCAACTCCACAATGTTACCATGCATGTCAGTTCCTTCGTCTTCTCTTCACTTTCAGTCATAGAATGCCTCAGAGTTGAAACAGTTTATGCATGTTATTTCAGGCTGATGTTGAGACAGATGAAGTATATGCCCAAATGACATTGCAGCCTTTGACCCCAGTAAGAAGCATTGCTTTCTTCTTCGCTTGAATATGCTTTTTGGGTTTTATATATCTTTTTTATGTTTTTCTTTTCTTTTCCTCATCTATGTTTTCATATAGGAAGAGCAGAAGGATACATTTCTTCCAATGGACTTGGGAGTTCCAAGCAAGCAGCCAACCAATTATTTCTGCAAGACACTGACAGCAAGTGATACTAGTACCCATGGTGGTTTTTCTGTTCCTCGTCGTGCTGCTGAGAAAGTCTTTCCTCCACTGGTATTCTCTTTCTTATATTTCTACCTTCCAACTGTTTTCTCAGTGCTAACGTAGTAACGTGTTCCTTCTTTGTTTTGTAGGACTTCTCGCAGCAGCCACCAGCTCAAGAACTTATTGCAAGGGATCTCCATGACGTTGAGTGGAAATTTAGACATATCTTTAGAGGTTAGTTTCAAATGCCGCTCCTATCAAGCATTCTCATAGGTTATAATCATTTCTTGTTTCATTGGAATTGTAAGTTATTGGATCTTGCCATGCTATCTTAATTTTAAGGTTACTGCTATTTATATTTCAACTGGAGAAGATTTAGTAGTTTGCATTTGGCAAAATCATAGTTTTATAGTGGACTTGCTGATATTTTCTTTTCTATTGCTTTTAAAGTTGCTAATAGAAAAGAAATGTTATAGTTGCTTGAAATCGACTTTTGAAGGAACATGTTTGATTATAGTGTTTGAATAAGTTTGAGATATGATTGTCCTTTGTCCTTATGCACTTCTGTGCTTCAATGGGCACATCATCCAATCCAATTGGTTTTTCACTTTTTATCATTTTTTAAGAGTGCCATTTCTTTTTCTTGTTTTTTTGGGTAAGTGTTAAGAGTTTCTGTTTCTATTTTTTGAATTTGCTGATAGCATCATAATTCTCTTTTCTTCCATATTGTATTCTAGTTTTCATTAAATAAACCCTGAACTTTCTTCATATGTCCTTCATAGCCTTCTCAAAAATAAACATATATTCACTATCATCCTTAGTACACTTGATATATACTTTTTTGTCCTTGGTTCTCTCATTTTGGCAAGTTTGTCAAATCGATTTGATAAATACAGTGAATGAGTCCAACTCAAGTATTTATTAAATCCTGTTCAGATAGTTCACAAGTAAATCCCATTTCTATAACAAGTGTTAGCTATCAAAGGTCATATTGTTAAACATGACGGCTTTTCCTTCACTATTTGTTTCTTTGGACCTGCATGAATAAACCTTTGTTTCCTTGGCCTCCTTTTTGACATTCCCATTGAAACCTCTACATTGATAATCTTTCCCTCCTGTAAGGTCCTTTGGATCAATAAGGTAGGTCTTCCCAGAAGCTTACCTTGAGTTAACTTATCTAATTCACTTGAGGGGCATATACAATCACTATATTGAGTTAACTCATCCTTTTGACGTTCTTGATTCTTGGTATCACTGTTGGTCTTGTCTATGATTGATAATAACCTATCAGTTTTTGTTCTATTCTCACGTGAACATCAAAGTTTGAAGCTAGAGTCCTCAAGATCCTTGACCGTAGTCTGTTGGATGAACTTAGTTCTTCATGTTAGCCTCAAATGCATCCTTCAATTACATGTCAATGACTCATTAGTCCAAGTTACAAGACCGATATTGTAGTTTTTGACTATCTTCTTTACAAGATCCAAGAAGATGCAAAAAGCATAACTCAATAAAAACTTATCAATTGCATGTATAAATGAGTAAAATAATATGTTTTAGAGATCACGATTTCAGTACCACATCCAACAATTTCAAAAGATTTATGCAATCTGCATGGATTTGTATTAATTGCTAGTATTTTTTGTTTCAAGGATTTATCAAACCAACTAGATGTTTGGCTGTAGAAATTTTATAAAAAGTGTTTTGGTTCTTGCAATAATTTTACCGTACTTCAAGAAAATATTTCAAATTTCAAATTCTAAAAATGTCTTGATTTATCTTTTTATACAAATATAGGATTTTTTTAGAATACTCAGAATGGGCATATTACCTGTATATCTACTAAATTAGAAAGAAGGCTTTTCTTTATTGGGTTGAAAGCATGGTAAGGATATATAATAATTATGAGAAATAATGATTCTTAAAGTACAAAATTTAAACTTAATGGATTAGTTTCAACAACCCAGTGATGTTGACTAAAGCTCTTATATATGTTTACTACCTAATGCAACCCTCCTGGTTTATTTGTGATGGGGGCTAATTATAACTCAAGAGCCTTGAACTTAACATAGTCCCTACAACAACAACAATAGAGAACCAAGCCTTATATCCTATAACTCTAAGGTTGGCTGTATGAAAGGCCAAAAAAAGAATCATATTATGTCATAGTTTTGAATCTTTTTACATTAACATTGTCCCTACTTCAATTAAATTCTTTATATTTAATATAAAATTTACTAGGACTCTAATTGAAATTTAATTGAAATTTTTACTTATTTTGTCAATTCATGTTAGTTTCTTAAATTGAGATTTTTACTTATTTTGTCAATTCATTTTAGTTTCAAAAATTTTTAATATAAAATTTTTACTTTTAAAACTTAACATAGTCCTTATTTTAGAGTTAAATGCTTATGACTTGGCTGTCTAAACGAAATTTAGAACCTTTGGCACTGAAATCTTATTTGGATCTTAGTGTAAAATTTTGGTAATGATTCACAGAACCAAGCCTTATATCTCATAACTCTGAAGTCGGTTGTATGAAAGGCGAAAAAAAGAATCATGTTAGGTCGTAATTATGAACAGCAAGAGCAACAACAACAAACCAAGCCTTATATCCCATAACTCTGAAGTTGGCTTTATGAAAGGCTAAAAAAAAAAATCATGTTAGGTTGTAGTTTTTAATTTTTTTACATTGACAGAGTCCCTACTTCAACTAAATTCTTTTTATTTAATATAAAATTTACTAGGACTCTAATTGAAATTTTTACTTATTTTGTCAATTCATGTTAGTTTCTTAAATTGAGATTTTTACTTATTTTGTCAATTCATTTTAGTTTCTAAAATTTTTAATATAAAATTTTTGCTTTTAAAATTTAACATAATCCTTATTTTAGAGGTAAATGCTTTTGACTTGGCTGTCTAAACTAAATTTAGAACCTTTGGCGCTGAAATCATATTTGGATCTTGTGTAAAATCCTGGTAATGATTCACAGAAATAATGACTGATATGTTGCTCTTTGAGCCCACATTGTCGAAACATGAACTTGCTAGGTTTTTTTTTTCCTGCTTGAATCTATAAGGTACACAAACATGATAAAGCCTTTACTTTCAAATGTAGAGGAACGTAGAAGCCAGATCTGAGATCAACTGAAGAATGCTTACAGACTCAAATGATTAATGTGCTTCGAATTAAGGTTTTTCAGTGTTAGAACCAGCTTTGATGAATGCTTTAAAGGGTCGTGGGTGTTACTGCTATTGTGTTTAGTCATCACTGTAATTAAAACTAGGTATAAGTTTTCACCATATATAATGAAAATCCTGTTACTAATTGGTTTAACTTGGCAGGGTATATGAACTTCAAAACTCAAAAACATATAAACTGAAGTTTATATATCCTAAATTTTCTTCTGAGTTGATTGACTTACATATTCTATATGTTTGGAGATACTTGTTTAGTGTATTAAATTTTCTCTACTGGTTCTTTTGTGCCTGTAATTGACGGAACTGTGGTTGTGACATCTTTATATAAACTGCTTTATACAACCGTGTTATGACCAATTAGATTGTCTATTATTGCACATTAAAATGATCCATCTAATAGTACAACTATTGATTTTCTATTTAAGTTGACGTGATGTCGTGCAACTTGCAGGACAGCCTAAACGCCACCTTCTTACGACAGGCTGGAGTGTGTTTGTTAGTGCCAAGAGACTTGTTGCTGGGGATTCTGTTCTTTTTATTTGGTATTCATTTTCTTTTTTCCTACTTATTCTGCTGAATATGTTTTTTTAATTGTACCTGGTACATGCGGTTTATTGGGTAACCTAGCCAGAGAGAAAGCTAGACTCAAGGGAAGAGTACTTAAATATGCGTTATTGACCATATCTCATAAATTCCTGTCATTAGGAATGAAAAGAATCAGCTTCTTTTGGGAATTCGTCATGCCACTCGTCCACAAACTGTAATGCCATCATCAGTTTTATCTAGTGATAGCATGCACATTGGACTCCTTGCAGCTGCAGCTCATGCTGCTGCAACTAATAGCTGCTTTACAGTATTTTATAATCCAAGGTGGTGATGATTTCTTATCTCTTTCATTTGTTCTTTATGTCTTATCTGATAACATGCTTGTTCTCTAATATGCAGGGCTAGTCCATCTGAGTTTGTTATACCCCTTTCAAAATACGTTAAGGCTGTTTTCCACACACGTGTCTTAGTTGGGATGCGTTTTCGGATGCTTTTTGAGACAGAAGAATCAAGTGTTCGTAGGTATTATGGTTGTTAACCTCTCATATAGTATTATTTTAGTGGTTTATCTCGTGTGATTCTATGAATTGCTTCTGTTTATCTGATCATGTTTTTGAACGCCATCTATATATTTTTATTAAAATCTTTTGCTGACTTTATGATATTGTGGCAAATAACTTGTGTGTATATTGAAACAATAGTCCACCATGTTAATCACTTATGCTTCTTCTGATTTCAAATATTAGGTAAAAGTTTCATGGTGCAGAAGTGGTGTCCTTGGTTTAATTTTTGAAACTTTTATTTATATTTTCTTTTTCTGTAAAATACTTGGATTTTATTAGTTTTAGTGTAGTAACAGTTGATAAAACTTGGGACTTGCACCATGCTTTCCTCTTCCACACCACAATTTTGTCATTTATTTGAATTTCAAGATTATGAGAAATGGAGCATAATTGGTCAAGGTTTAAAATTTTCTGTTATAGGACAAGTATTTCATACAAATTTATCTTAACCAATAATGGATTATATCCAAATCTAAACATCTCATACGCATAAGAGTAGGTTTTTTTGACCAAAATACACATTAGAGTAGTTCTTTCTTTTTTTTTTTTTTTCTATTAAATTATAGTTTCAAGGCTGTTTGACAGTGAGATTGGATTAGAAGAGCTACTCTCTCTCTTTTTTTTTTTTTTTAATTCTTTTTCATTGGGAGAGAACTCGTAATGATTTTGTTTGGTAATGCAGGATATACTTTGGGTATGAAAATCATATAATTAAACCTCTTTTGAAAAAACATTTTTACGTAGATACTGAAACTTTTAAGAATGAATAAATTATAGATAAAATAATTAAATTAGTAAAAGTAAATATTGACACAAGCTATATGTTTTAGGATAATATTGACAAAAAGGAGAACAAAGTATTAAGATAAATGTAAAGGGAGTGACAAGGATAGGGTTAATGATAGCGAATGCAAATTTTAGCATCACATGACATGGAGTATCTAATAGAATATTGTATTGATGCAGATTAATATAAACAAAATTATGTTTAGATAGTTTTGACATTTTGGAGGAAAATGAGACTATGGCTTCGGTTATTTCGTTGAAATTGACTTTTAGAAAATGTTTAACAAAAAAGTAAAGATTTTTTATTGTTTGGATGGGTTAGTGAAAAATATTTTTTGTTATTTGGTTGTTTTTTTTTTTTAAATAATAATAATATAATTATTAAAATATTAAAAATTATTTATTATTAAAGTATATTGAAATTATTTATTATTAAAATAATTAATATTCAAGAATAATGATATTTTAATAATAATATTTAATATTAAAATATTATATTAATATAAAAATACTTAAAATAAAACTCTTTATTATTTTTTATATTAATTTTTTAAAATGTTTAAAATAGTATTATTATTCTTAAAATATTATTTTTATTAATATTAAAATAGTAATATTTATTATTAAAATATTTATACTATTAAAATATATATTTTTTATATTGAAAGTACCTAGTATTAAATTATAACAAAAAATTTTTATTTATATTTATTATTAAAATAATAAAATAAATATCATAATAAATAAAATATAAAATTATATATTTTAAACTAAAAAATACTAAGAAATTATTAAAAAATGCATATTAAGAAAATAATAATATTATATTATTTAACATTAATTATTAAAATAATAAAACTAATATTATATATGTTATTAATTATTAAAAGTCTTTTAATACTATTATTTTAATTTTTTAAGAGTAAAATTAAATAAAAACATTATTTATTAATATAATAATATTTTGGGTCGGGTTAAATTAACTTTGAGCTAAAAAAATCATGTACAATGTTTGACTTGAGTAAAATTATATTCAAACACATTGATAAATAGTTCTACTTATAAAAAGCTCTTTTTCGAAAATTGTCTTCTCCTTTTTAAAAGGGGAAGACAATTTCCAGAATAATTGCTTTATTTTCTGTTGACCAATAAGTCATTTTTTGTCAAACACCTGAAAATATAGAAATCATTTTTCCAAAATCATTTTTTGTGAAACAAATGGAGCTTATATGATGCAAAGTAAACCATAGGTTGATTTTAAGAAAAAGAAAAAGAAAAAGGAAATTGAAAAGATAAGAGGAGAAACAAAAAAAAAAAAAAAGTGATAGGGAGAAAGTAAGACAATAAATAATTATGAAGGGAAAATGATTGAAGGAAAAAAGAAGGGAATTATTAAAAGTGATTATAGGTATTTTGCATAAAGTGCTAACTGGGAATGCTGGTATGATTTTAAAAAGTTTATTATGTGGAAGCTGCCTGTGTACTAGAGCAGAGAGCATCAGGTGGGACCTTTTAATGTCGTGGGAATCCCCTATTCTGACAGCCATTGATTAGAGAACCATGAATATAAATTTTACTCTCTGATTTATTCAAATACTGGTTTCAACAGATTATTTGATTTTGTCTGCCAGTTGGTGTTTGTTGTCACTTGCTGTTGAAAGTGCTGTCCTAAATGTGTATTTCAATAGTTTGGCACCAATTGGCGAAAAAACAATGGCACCAAAGAGCTACTGTTTATATGTTGCACCATTTTTTTGTTCATATGTAAATTTCTTTTTTTCCTTCTCTAGGTATATGGGTACAATAACTGGTATAAGTGATTTGGATCCTGTTCGCTGGCCAAATTCCCATTGGCGGTCTGTGAAGGTAATTATTAACATATTTTTACATGGGTCTCGTAATAGATGGTGGTCGGCGCATTTTTTGTTGTTTGTGATGGTACAATGTCAAATACTATTTTATTTATGCATGTTTGAAAAAATTCATCTGTGTTTAATGTCCATGATTTCTTTGGGATTCAATGCTAGTTGAATGAATATGTGAAGTTAGAATCTTGAAAGAAAGATAGGTTAAGGATGGGAATTGTTTGGGAGACCTATAATGGTGGGTGTTTTGGGTTTTAGGATTATCCAATATGAGTAGGGGTGGCAAACGGTTGGGGTCAATAATTTTGAGTTTGGGTCATTTCAAGTTTAGATTAGTTTTTGGCAACTTTATATTTTATGTGGTACGTAACCATTTCAATATGATTTTAGGGTTTGAGTGATCTTGGGTTCGGATCATTTCGAGTTTCTTTGTTTTGGATTCAACTAATAGTGGGTGTAGGTCATTTCAGATTCAGGTTTCTTTGAGTTAGGATCTTTGATTTTTTTGACAATTCAGGTTTGGGTTGGTTTCACCACTTCTAAATATGAGTCTCCAGTTAAAATCCTTTTCTATTCATTTGTGATCATAAGATACTTGTGTAGTAATTTGATTCTCTTACATTAGTGCAGCTTGATTTCGTAATTTATTTTGGGAATATTTCTCATTTATTCTTTTGATTTAGTTAACTATTTTGATTATCAAGTTTTTAGGGATTTGTTTATATTTTAGAATAGAATAATTTTCCTTTTATTATTTTTTGTTTTTTGTTTCATGTAAATTGTTTCCTAATAAGGAACTTCACTGTTCCTATTTATTTAGATGTACTTCATTCTAAATAGAATAAGAAGAAATAAGAACAATTGTTCTTTAAGTATTCTACATCGTATTAGAGTCAGGATGTTTTTCTGTTACCCTTTCCAAATTTGTCACGTGAAAGGCTTCTTTCATCTTTGCCTACATGTGATGGGGACCTGTTAAAGTGAGTTATCTCAAATCTAATAAATATCAAATTTCCTGTAGTTTTATATTTAAGTTAGGCCTCTTCACTTACTATCAATTGGTAGTAAGTTGGATGCTTAATGTGGCATCAGAGCAAGTTGGCTTGAACCATTAGGCTGTAGCCACACCTATTGTGGCTGGTAGGAGTGAGAACTCTTCTTCTGTAGAGGTATGCCATGAGTATTCTACATAGTATCAGAGCCAAGATTTCTTTCTATTGCCATTTTCAAATTTGTCATGTAATAGGCTTCTTCCATTTTTACCTACACGTAATGGGAGCTTGTTAAAGTGGGTTATCCCACATCTAATAAATGTTTAATTTTCTGTAGTCATGTTCAAGTTGGGCCCTTCCACTTATTGTCAATTGGTAGTAAGTGGGATGCTTAATATGGTATTAGAGCAAGTTGGCCTGAACCATTAGACTATAGCCACATGAATTTCCGTTGTGGCTAGCAGGAGTGAGAACTCTTCTTCTGCAAAGGTATGGCATGAGTAAAGTTACAAAGAGCTGATGCTCTAATAAATCCTTAAAAACAAGTTCGCACCCTTTGGAACTAGTTTACTAGCACAAAGAGGTAATTTCCTAAATGCCTTACGTGTTCAATAGGAAAATACACAATCTTGGATTGTTGATTTAGGAGCGTCAGATCACATGATTGGAGATGCATCCTTATTCAACACATATAGACTTTGCTATGATAGTTTTGTTGTAAAAATTGCTGATGGTTCTCTCTCAAAGGTGGTAGGAATAGGTTCTATTGGAGTTTCGAAAGATATAACACTTAACTCTGTCCTCCATGTCCCTAATTTAAGTTGTAACCTATTTTCCAACAGTAAGCTTACGAAGTTTAGATGTTGTGTCACTAAATTTTTTCCCAACTTGTGTGAATTTCACGAATTGGGCTTGGGGAGGATTATTGGTAGTGCTAGGATGTGTGCAGGGCTCTTACCTTCTTCAAGATTATGCACTTCAAAGAGCACAAAGCTCTTGTTCAGCCTTAGCCCCTAGTACCAGTTAGGATGACCGTATCATGTTATGGCATTATAGATTAGGACATCCAAATATTTCATACCTAAAAAGGCTATTTCCCTCATCATTCAATAACATCTCTAAAGATTTTCAGTGTGAAATTTGTCAACTTTTCAAGCACATTTGAAATACCTACCCTAGCCTTTCTTATAAATCATCTAAGCCTTTCTCAATAATTTATAGTGACATTTGGGGACCATCAAGAGTTAACAACATCACAGGTTCTAGCTGGCTTGTTACATTCATCGATGATCATACTCAACTCATTTGGGTATTCCTTATGAAAGAAAAATCTGAGGTTAGCCAAATCTTTTAGAACTTCAATAGCATGGCACAAAGCCGATTCCAAGCCAAAATTCAAGTCTTAAAAACTGACAATGGAAGGGAATACTTCAACTCTATTCTTGGCCCTTACCTCACAAATCATGGAATTATTCATCAAAGCTCTTGCATTAACACTCCACAACAAAATGGGGTTGCCGAATGCAACAATAGACATTTGATAGTGTGGAAACTGAATGTATATTGAAAAAACTGCTTATCTACAATTATACAAGAATCTTAGGTTTATATACAACTAACTAGGGGGTTAAACTAGGAAACTAAATCTTCCTTAATTCTAGGGATACAAATACTTAATTCTAGAGATACAAATATAAATATACAGATTACAAGATTACAACCAATTGTAAATAAGTGTTTTCCCACACTCCCCCTCAAGCTGGTGAATAGGTGTTTTCCATTCCCAGCTTGGAAATAATTTTCTTGAAATGTTGCACTGCTGAGACCTTTAGTCAACACATCTGCAAGTTGACCCTTGGTTGATACATAAGGTGTACAAATCAACCCACTATCTAGTTTTTCCTTTATGAAATGCCGGTCTACTTCAATGTGTTTTGTTCTGTCATGTTGCACAGGATTGTGTGCAATGCTTATTGCAGACTTGTTATCACAATAGTCTCATTGGTCCATCCCACTTGATCTTCAAGTCTTCTAGGATAATCTTTAACCATAGTAGTTCACAAATTCCTTGAGCCATTGCTCTGAACTCTGCTTCAGCACTTGATCTTGCCACCACATTCTGTTTTTTACTCCTCCAAGTCACAAGATTATCACCTAAGAAAGTGCAGTAGCCTGAGGTAGATCTTCTATCAGTTACTGAACCTGCATAATCAGCATCTGTATATGCTTCTAGAACTAACCCCGAATCTCTTTTGAATAAGATACCTCTCCCAGGATTGGCCTTCAAATAGTGCAATATACGGTAGACAGCCTGTAGGTGCACTTCTTTAGGACTATGCATAAATTGACTTACCACACTCACAGCATATGCTATATCAGGTCTAGTATGTGACAGATAAATGAGTCTTCCAACTAATCTTTGGTACATCTCTCTATTTACAGCAGCATCTTCATTAGCTTCTCCAATTTTATGATTAGGATCTATAGGGGTATTTGCAGGTTTACATGCAAGCTTCCCAGTTTCCTTCAAAAGATCCATCACATATTTTTGTTGTGAGATAAAAATACCATGCCTTGAGTGAGCTACTTCAATTCCTAGGAAGTACTTCAATCTCCCAAGCTCTTTTATCTCAAATTCTCTAGCCAAACACTGTTTTAGAGATTCTCTCTCTTTTTCATCATCTCCAGTTACAGTTATATCATCAACATACACTAATAGAACTGTGACTCTCCCTGAATCAGAGTGCTTGATAAACAATGTGTGATCTCCTTGACTCTGTTTATATCCCATTGCTAGCATCACTTTGGCAAATCTCCCGAACCAAGCTCTAGGAGACTGTTTAAGGCCATATAAAGCCTTTTTTAGCCTGCATACTTTGTTTGCTTCTAGATGACCTCCAAATCCCGGTGAAACCTTCATATATATTTCTTCTTCCAAATCACCATGTAAAAAAGCATTCTTTACATCAAATTGTTGAAGCTGCCAATTGTAATTTGCAGCCAATGATAACAAAATCCTAACTGTATTCATCTTGGCGACTGGAGCAAAGGTTTCCTGGTAATCCACTCCGTAGGTCTGAGTGTAGCCCTTAGCCACTAACCTGGCTTTATACCTTTCAACAGTACCATCTGCCTTGTATTTTACAGTGAAAACCCATTTACACCCTACTGGATTTTTTCCTTTAGGCAACTCTACCAGTTCCCATGTCTGATTTTTCTCTAAGGCCTCCATTTCTATTTTCATGGCTTGCCTCCATTTCTCACCGGATAATGCCTCGGATAATGTAGTTGGAACAGAAATAGTGTTTAGGCTCACAAGAAAATTTTTGTGGGATGGTGAAAATTTTTCAAATGACACAAAATTAGATATTGGGTATAGTGGATGCTTGGTACATTCTCTGGTTCCTTTCCTAATGGCAATAGGCAAATCATAATCACTAGTTATAGTATTAGGAGATTCATGCTCATTTTGAGAAACGGAGTCAAAAACTGTAGTTACCTCATTTCCAGAGTTAGGATCAGGTTCTTGGACTGGCACCGGTTCAGGATCTGGAACTTTCCTTCTTGAGTACACCTGTAATTCCTTCATAGAATCAAGAACAATATTATCCTTTGTCACATCTTCCGTATTTGGAATGGGTTCAGACTCAAATTCAATGTTTGACTTAGGCTCAGCAGAAACAGGTTTCGACTCATAAGAATTAATGGGTGTAAATGTTGAAGAAGGGGGCAAATCAAGCAAAAAGAAGTCTTTATCCTTATCTTCCATGAATGAAGTCTCCCCCTGAAGATAAGGTTGAGTAAAAAATGGTTTATTTTCTTCAAAAGTGACATCTGCAGACAAAATTTTTTGGTAGGAGGATGATAGCACTTATATCCTTTTTGAGTTGAAGAATACCCCACAAAAATACACTTAATCGCTCTTGGATCCAACTTTCCCCTGTTGTGACTGTGAACATGAACAAATGATGTACAACCAAATATCTTAGGTGTGAGATTGTTTGTAGTA